ACATTTTCGAGATTTCTATTTCAAGGTCCTTGTACTTTGACAACTTTTTGAATATCTTCAAAGATACATTGCAGTCAGCAGGGACTGCCATATCAATAAGGAGACATCGTTTTTGTTTGTGGTCTTTAATAACAATATCTGGCCGGTTGGCCTTGATTGTTCTGTCAGTGTGTATTGTGTAGTCCCATAGAATTGTAACAGGTCCTATCTCCGTAACCGGATCTGGGTGGTGTTCATAACAGTTTCTTTCAGTTTCCTTCCCGTAGAAGTTGGCAGATTTTCCAGTGCAGATATTGGCCCACTCTGTCATGTCGGGTTTTATATTCAGTGGGTGCCAACACCGTACAACCTGATACAAGATGATCAATCGTTTCTGAATATTTATCACAGAATCTGCATTTTGGGCTGACACAATATTTTAGTATATGTGCTTGATAATTCCTAGTTAGCAAGCATTGGTCCTGCGCAGCAAGGATAAAACCTTCAGTTTCCGCTTTCAAACCTGCACTATTATTATTATTATTATTATTATTATTATTATTCCCGTTTTTCTACTGCTTTAATAGCTTTTTATTCTTCTCCCTTTATAAATAACCAGATTGTCGTTTGTAAAAAAAATCCTACCACCTGCATGTACTTATTTTGTCGCCATCTGCACGCATTCATTTATTAAGAAAAGAAAAGAAAAAAAGAACTTCTTTAGAGTTAACATAAGAGTAGCCGAGTTTCTTAAACCTCCCAATTTATTCTAAAACTAACTGGGTCTGAGGAGACAGAATTTAAAACATTTCCAGACTTGATCTTTGATTTTGTTTTCCCGCTTAAATTTCAACCTATATAAGAACAAATATTAACCTGCATGTATGCGTCGATCTGCACGTATATATATATATATATATATATATATATATATATATATATATAATAATTATTTTTATAAAAAAATTATAACATAAGTATGTTATAAAATCACTACAAAAATAGCCATTTTGTTTCAACACACTCTGTGTCTTATCAAGTGATGATGTTGAAAATAAAATAAATGGTTTTTATTTTTAATATTACACGTATTTTAAAGATCTGAATAGCTATTATAACATGATTTCGTTGTCAAGCTTTTGAATCTTTCAATACTTGGTTTTTGATTGGTTGTTCTAGCTTTTGTAACAATGTTCCCCCCTAGTGTAGGATCGTTAATTAATCTGAAACTTTTAAAACCATTTATTTTATTTTCAACATCATCACTTGATAAGACACAGAGTGTGTTGAAAAAAATGGCTATTTTGTAGTGATTTTATAACATATTTATGTTATAATTTTTTTATAAAAATAATTATATCTGCTCTACTTTGTATTGAGCACTCTTTTAAGAATAGTAATTGTTGTTTATTGGAATTCATTCCGTATATACCAATTATATACTTATATATATATATATATATATATATATATATATCAGAAGACTCGAGAAACTATACAGTAAGGGTGGATAGCTAATCACTGTTGCAGACACCATCACAGGCACATTTGTGGTTCTTTAACGCCAATAATGTCAACCTTTTGTTTATACTGCAACTAAGCTGAGCAGAATTTAGTTACAGTTTCTGGCCTTTAAAATCTCAGTCACGATGACTTGTGACTTTGTGATAGCACAACCGCCGACGGCTTCTGAACAGATTCATCTACCCAATTCAATTCACAAAGCTTAGGTCAACTCGTGTGATGGTTTTCAGGCACTTCCAAACGATGCCGCACACTAGGATCGTCCCCCACCCAATGTTGATATATCGATCATGATTGGATTTGAAACCGGTTCTTATGGTTATATATATATATATATATATATATATATATATAAAGTGTCCCCCAAAATTGACATAATTTAAAATGTGAATATCTGAGCAACCACATGTTCCAGGCAAACGAAATTAAATAGGCTTCATATTGAACAATAAAATATTTATTTATCCGAATTCGAACAAGATTTTCAAAGGGATGTAGATTTTATAACAGATTTCGCAAAGTTTCACAAATGTTCAATATGCGCACCACCTGTGACACAACACACGTCAAGTCGGTAGTCCAGCTTTTGCCCAACACGCTGTAGCATGTCTTGCATAACATTCTCCAGTGCCTCAGTGCGGACTTATTTCAATGAGAATCTACCAGGAAGATGGATCGGGCGTTCCAGTGATAATGATAATGTGCTGTTGAAATGGCCACCACGTTCATCTGACTTGACACCTTGTTTTTTTTTATGGGGCTATATGATAGGACCTGTCTATATCCCCACTCTTCCTACAAGCCGAGAGGAACTTAAGCATGTCAGTGATTCTCCACTGACATGTAGTTACTCAGTAACATTTTAAATCATGTCAATTTTTTTTGGGGGGGGGTCACCCTGTATAAACAGGCTGTCTGTGGATGACAGTATATATACACAGCCGAAAAAATAAATTTCGGTCGAGCACTTTAGAGAGAAAGCGCGAATTTGAAAACAGTGCCTGCTACTGCTGATAATACAAAGCTCTTTTATGAATCGAGCACTCTGAGTTACTGGTATGTTTATTCAAAATAAATGAGTAAAAATCCACCTCCCTCTCTGCCGAGAGCCGATAGCTTAGAGGAAAATCTCCAATTGATGCCAAATCAGACGGGTTTCGATCCTGGCTTAAGGCAATCGGATGTCTAGACACACTGATGAGCTGTGATACAGCGAAACAGTCTATCTGTGGATGACAATATATATATATATAAAATATATGTGTGTGTGTGTATGTGTATGTGTGTGTGTGTGAATATTAGTTGAAAACCTGAACAACATGCACTAATTTGATAGATATAAGCAGACTGATATAGATAGATAGATAAGAAGCAGACTGGCATACATAGAATATATTGAGATAGATAGATAGATAGATAGATAGATAGACAGACAGACAGACACACATATTCATACATGCAATATGAACGATTCATAGCCATACTAACTAAACATTAGCAATCAGTGACGCATGAGTATATACAGATGTGAAGCCGTAAATTTTTGTACATGCCCAAGTGCATTTTTACATATACACGACACGATAAAAACAGATATATAGAGATGGAAACGCACAAACACACAGGAAAAAAAACAACATATAGACAAATTTCAGGGCGCTCCCCGCCAAATGTATGCACGCTTTCTTAACATCAACTATGTTTTTACTGGTTAAGCTAATTAAACGCATTTAAAATAAACAAAAATATCACAATAAATTTTAGAAAGAAAAATATAAAATGCTTGTTTAAATAACACTATTTGAGGCGTTTAAAATGTTTTTCTCCACAGCAATTCTCTCGCTGTTGTAAGCTGCACATTGCCACAGAAATATGTATTTTGGACACATTTTAATATTAATATATTACAATACATTAAACAGATTGTTCATTGAAAATGGATTGTTAACTTAAAATGTTTTTTGCAAGTGACAAACAGGATGAGTGTTTCATGTTATTTTAGCCCTACATATACAAAAAAAAAAAAAAGTGATGGATTTTTATTTTTTTATTTTATATTTTTACACATCGGTTCAAATCCTGCCCGAAAGCGCATATTTTTCTAATTTTCTTTAATAAGATTTCTCGGAGAGCCGTCTTCGAATTCTAGTTGGGTTCGTTATAGTCACTTACTTTGAGAAAAGTATGAATATGTGGGGTTCAGCGTACCCGGATTAAAGGAGAATTTAATACGGGACACCCTACCCACAAAATACAACGCAAATTTCAAGAAGAAACAACACGATAAGGAACGTTTATAGAAAATAGAACATTGTATATTTATTATCTTGTGAATAGGGTAAAAAGGATTAATGCTTTAGTTCGTTTAAGCAAAATTGTTATTTTGATGAAAATGTCTGTGTTCGCTGTCTTTTAACAGAGTAGCAGAGTAATATATATTTGTATAGTTGCAAATGAAAAAGGGGCGAGCAATTTAAGTTGAAAAGGAGAGTGTGAATGAGGAATAAAGATAAAAGGAAAATGTACTTATGAATTGTTTTGGAGTCAGTTGTAAATTTGTTGTTGTTGTTGTTGTTGTTCTTTCCTACTCCACTTTCGGCTCTTTGTGTCGATTTGAGTCAGTGATGAAATTTACTGTCAATCTTCTGTGATCTTTTGCGCCCTTCTCTGACTAACTGACTGGCGACTGACTTGAAAACTCTGTATTTATTGTTGACTTTCTTTTTTCACACTGGCTCGTTATCTTTTTTTTTTTTTTTTTGGTTTAGCAAATCGCCTCCTTTCATTGGTCAGGAAATTAATTTCACACCTTATTGTGAAATCTGTTTTTGGTCGTTTTGATCCGATTTTGCGGGTGTGCAAATCTACTTTGTGTTTTTTTAGTCATTTGTTGGAATATAGGATTTGTATCCTATAAATACACTTTTTCTCCTCCCGAAACTGGGTTAAATAGTAAGAATTGTATCAGAAAAAAATTCTTATAATCCAAAATGTTTCGACTTTAAATAACCTTAAAAAGGTTGATAAGCTGTATAAAAAACAAAACGAAACAAAACAAATCAATCAATGAATCAGAATAATCAAAAAAGAAACCACAAACATTTGAAAGATATCAAGAAGAAATTAAATTTATGAACAAGAAATGTGTATTGATCAGCAAAAAAATATTTTAAATTTGTTAGTGTTGTGAATATAAACAGAAAAGATTTGAATTGAATGATTTATTTTTTGCGGCTTGTCAACCTTTTTGCAGGTTATTTAAAGCCAGAAAATATTTTTAGATTGTAAAGGTTTTGAGGGGATAACAATAATTTTCTGATACAGCTTCTACTAAATAACCCATAGCTGGAGAGAAGGCAGAAAAGGTGGATTCATAACTTTCCCAAGGGCATTTGCTAGTAAGTGAATATAAATAACCCGACTGGAATAGGAACTTATCTCTCCGATTTCCAATTCTGAGCCGTTATCCATTAACGCCACCAGCACATCCAAACAACTTACAGCACCTGGTACTCCCGTTCGGTCACCCATCTAAGTGCTGACCAGCTTCGACGTTGCTTAACTTCGATGATCATACGAGAACCGGAGAAAAGATATGGAATAATATGAACATTGTTTAAAGACATGGAAACAAACAAACCTACCACTTTTAAGTAAACATCACAAAAAGAAACACATAAGTTGAGCGAAGAAGTACATGAAAACTGATTTCTCAATAGTAATTTTTAGCGATGAACATAGAAGCTACATTAGATGGACTTGGTGGCAATGTTAGAATGAGGTTCATTCATGGAAACAGTCAACCAAATATAAGAATATACCAATTTGAAGATGGATTAACGTTTTTAGGCTCGTAGGCACGGTGTAGTAATGGATTGAGGAATCGAAAAGCCGAGTTCGAATTCCAGACGAATAAATTACATTACTTACGTACTATTACCCTTGGGAAAGGTATGAACCCTCTTCTTCTCCCCCCCACCCAGCTATGAGTAAATAGCAGGACACACCGGATTCTATAGCCTTGGATGGCAACTGATCTACCGCAGAAAGAAATGGCAAGCTACTGCGGGAAAAAAAATTGCCTCGTCAGTCATGTATCAAAATATACATGATCGCCTAAGCATGTATCACGCATGGCACATAACTGACTGATTGTAGGAAGTAAAATTATAGATTACTTGAAAGATGATGGCGTTGTCAGAGAATTATCGTAAGTTCTTGGAGATGACGTTATTTCTCAAACTACAAGCTTTAAGCTACAGAATATATTAATGAAAGATTATTATTATTCTAATAACTCCTTATTATTATTCTATGAGACCTGTCTCTTCAGGAAGTTGGCGATCAAAACTCGCCACAATTTGCCTGTCCTTTGTAACTCTTAATAAATTTTGTGTTTTTGTTATAGGAATGATAGCAAAAAAACAAAATTTATTAATAGTTACAAAGCACAGGCAAATTGTGGAGAGCTTCGAATTAGTGTGGAACATCAACATCTTGATTATGTCATTATTTTCTCATCAAGTTACATGTGATATGCGTTTTAACTGTTGTTACTCTTGAAAGTCCTCGAGTAATGGGGTTCCTGTTATTTGGTACAGTTCTTTGTGATTCTGTAACGTCACTTCTACTCCAACAGTTTATTTTCTTGTACTTCCCGCCTGTAGAAATCCCTTCCGTTTATTTGATTCCCTGATAAATACAAAAATTTAAATGCAACGTCTATCGCCATCTTCCATCTTCTTGAATCCCGTTTATGTTTTGTCCATTCCTCAATCCTCCCTATAGTCAGTCTTTTCTCTCACTTTCACTCTCTGAAATCCCCTGCTTATTAGTGTCATTCCCACCTTGCTTCGAGTGAAATGATTTAAAAAAGGATTCTAAGAAGCATGTTCCTCGCTAAGACCTACATGATTCGTTCGTTCGCAGACATCTTAAAAATCGACCTGCGAATGCGGTTGTATACACAGCTGACGATTTAGACATTTCTGAACGAGTTCGCTGCTATGGCTGACATCTTTATGAAAGTTTAGAACTGACGAAACTATTTAAGAACATGACTCGAGTTATTAGGTTAATGTTTTTGTTTTGTACTATCTTACATTGTTGGTTTTGTGATGTCAACGAACACTCGTTGCCACTTTCGTAATGCCAAAGAATACTCGTTTTTGAAGTAGAGACTTTGTAATTGCAGATACAACTATAGTACACCGTCGATCAATACTGGTGTCAGATGCCTTCGAGTAACTCTCACACTAATAGTACTTGCTCGATAATACTCGCTCGAATAGTAACCACCGAATGGTAATCCGTGTTGTGATCAGTATAGAGAATATCGTAAAGAAAAGAGAATCGCGAACCGTATAGTAATAGAGGATGGAATAGAAATAGTGATCCGAATAGTAATAGAGGATAGAATAGAAATAACGATCGTTAGTCGTCAGCTACTTCCTACATATATGCGTTTCCTTTATGGACCCGTGGTCTACTTAATTCAATAATGTGATCGCCTGTGTTTGCTCACTGGCGATCTATGTTCAAACTCAAGTATCGGCAGCGACACTTTATTCCTATATAACAGTTGGACAAAACTTTCCCTAGTCTATTCTATGTTCAATTTTCGTTAAGTAATGGAATCGCCTTCAACTTCTCCAGATATTAATCCAAATTTTGAAGTTCATTATTAAAATAGACGTATATGAGAATGGAAAACAATATTCAATCAAAAGTCTTTGAGAAGCAATAAAAAACTGTTGCAAATAATTTTATTGAATTTTTAGGTTTCTAGTGTAACTTATGAAAACGTTAACAAAAATCAATGAATGACAACCTGATGAAGGTTCTACAATGTCAAGGAGTATATTAACATATAAAATAATATATTCAGATAGATGCGACACCTGAAGGATATTTCAAAGAATGTATAATTTTACTTCCAACAATACGAAGCTAAAGATATCTTTCTGTAGCTTATGTCGTTTGGATTTATTTTTTATAAATATGAATTATAAAAAAAAATATTTCCTAAATTTGTTTATAGAATGAAACTTGCTTCCTCCAAAAGTTAGAAATATTTTTAATAAGGATATATATATATATATATATATATATATATATATATATATATAAAATAATAATCGACTCTCCGTCGCGTTCGACGTATGAGGGTCAGGCCGAAGTCCCTAGGAAATCGACATCCCGACGCCGGCACATGAGATTTGATTATAGTGGTGAAGGCCTCGTGCAGGACCAGCCACACTTTTTGGAGGGACGAATACAGATAACCTAGTGCACCGAATGCATGCCACAAGGTTCCCAAACGACCCTCCGCAGGTTTTGAATATATATATATATATATATATATATATATATATATTATAAGCCGCTGCGCAACCGATATATCGTTAACTTTATCAATTCCCCTGTGGAGTATAGGACGACAGCCTCACCACACGAGGTGTTGGTGTTTTATTTTTCATAGCGTCTAGGTTTTTACAGGGTAGAATTGTTGGCCACACGTCCTACTGGTTTTGAATTCAGAGTTGTCCTTGTTGTCAAACAAGGCTACAGAACCCAGTTTGCCCTGTTATTTAATCCCTAGCTGGAGTGGTGGGAAGCAGTAGGGATAGATACATACTTTCATCAAGGGTATTTGTGTGAGAGCAAACGCAACGTCCTCGGTTGGAATTTGAACTCGAAAATCCCACTTTCTGGGTCGATAACGCGCACACCCAACCGATACATTGCTCACGTAAATATATCTTGAAGATTTATTTTTTTTATCAGTTTTATTGTGAAAAACATTGACTAGCATAATACAATTTTCGATTGTATGTATATATACGCATAAAGTGTTCTTCCTGGTGAAGGATTGCGTGCTATTTTAATAATAATAACAGAAGATTTAAAAAAAGAACAATCCCTTGCTTCGCTTTGTGAAAATATTTTTTTTTTATGCGACCACAAAACATTTCCCTTTGTGGTTATAATTTTGTAGAGGTTGTGTTAATGCATTAAATTATATTGATCAAAAATTGTTGAGTAAATTAGGCTGCGTGATGAAATTAACAATTTCCTCTCACATTAAATTTTAGTATTCAGCAAACATAGAATAAGGACATGAGAAACAACAGTTTTTGCACAACAATGAATAAAATATTTATATAAACAAGAGATACAAAAACAACTGGAGTAAAGCGGTAGTTTTAAAAAGTTCAAATGTCCTTTTATGTTTAGATGAAATGTTATCAAAGTTCTGGTTTGATAGATTATAATTTGTTGAATGGTCTGTACAATAATGAGAAAGTGTGTTTTGGTATTATAGTAATTAAAGAAAAAAATATACAGTTCAAGGTTTACGGAATTGTTGCTCTTTGATTTGCTTTCACTGGTTCGAAGAAAATTTTCTGTAGTTGTAATAAATGATTCTTAACAAGTTGTGTTTATGTTAATTGCAATAATTAACGTTGAGCTTGAAAGCGTATGAAAAAGATTCCTGTATTAATTTGAATGTGAAAAAGTTGATTTTTCGTCATAAAATATTGCTGTGTGAATGAGTCTTCTCTCAGGCGGGAATCATGTTAAGGAACTTTAATGTAAAGCCTGGAACTGTGCGACGAGTTCAAAGGATTCTGATCGGCACACTATCGAAGATGAAAGACGTTTCATATTTATTGCTAAATTTGGTCATGTGATAGGTTCACAGAAGCTTGATAGATTTTGACGGAATTATCTTTTTGGTCAGGTAAAGAACTAGGTCGATGTTATTAAATATTAAGTGACCAATTAGAAGTTGAGATTTTCTGAAAATATACATTAAGCTGAATAAGCTCTGTGATCCACTTTTTGTACGAAAATTGATATTGATAAAAAAGTTCGTAGCGGGGTGCTAAAATTTAATTTTATCATCACCACCAATGTTTTTTCATAGTTTCTATAAATGTAACACAGAATAACCATGAAATTAACCCTAACAGTGTAACTAGTTCATTTTTGTTGGTAAGCAATGTGTAAATAACACCTTGAACTGGTCGCAATGACGGGTTTTGTTCAGTTATTCAATGCCATTGTTGAATGAAGACTACACATATTTATTAGTATGAGTTATCCCACTTGGCGTTGCCAAAGCGCTCTTAAAGCCTATAAGAAGGCAATCAAATTCTCTCTGCAGTTCTTTTTACAACACTTGCGTCCACATTTAGTCGACGTCGATAAAGAACGCTGTCGACTAGGTGTGTTCACTTCCTTGGTCCTCTGTTAAATTTTGAACACTCTCACACACGCACAAACACACGCGTTTCTATTTACATAATCATTTCACCTCAAGCAAGGTGTTAATGCTCCTAAAACGTAAAGGCTACTGCGAGTGGAAGAGAATTAGAACACTTTAGTAAAGAGAAAGTGGCGATTGACGTTGCATTTAAATGTTTTAAACTGGAAGAGAGTTCCAGGGGTAAGAAATGTGCGTGTGGTAGCGGGTAAATCTGATGCTAATTTTTAAAAGATTTTATATTCTTTTATCTGATCCTGTCGGAGTTAGCTCTTCCTTAATTTCCAAATTCTTCACCAGGGGTCTCTCTCCCCATGCTA